TATGTAATACATATATGGATCTAGGGTTCTTGGGCTAGCACCTGTTGGGAGTAATCAACTTGTTCGTATGTGGATTAATTAAAGAGGAAGCTTGATTTGGTTTCTGCATGATCCGACAATACCAACTTCAGTTCTAAAAAGGTACAACTTTAAACGCCTTATGTTGTGTAATATTAAATTAAATGCGTCAGTGGATCCAATTGGGTTTTTTTCTAAAAAGTTTTCTGATTTAGTTTTATGACCAAAATTTTTAATTTCCGACGCGTAAATGGTTACAAAATTGTTTTAAATCCCGATAGTGGTATTAGAGCCACTTTGAATTTTTTATAAAATTAGAAAAGGGAACAAATTTTATACGGTAATAAAGTTTGTGTTAAAGCCTTGGTCGACATTTTGGCTGTTGTAGATGATCTAGTTGCTGCCGTAGCAACTGGTTAGCAGCCGATTGTCCTTTGTGGCTACTCATGTTGTTCTTCTCTCCCACATGGTAAGTGTGATGAAGAGTTTTTGCTCAAGTCAAAGAACGTTGTTGGACCACTATAGGTCGCTACTGGCACGCTGTTGGTTGCTGCTGCTTGGGTTTTAGGGTGTTTATTTATTGCAAGTTATGTGTTATCATCCATTGTTAAGTTTTTACTGAGATCTTAAATGGTTGTTCAGAATCTATGGGGCCTAATTTTATGGATTAACTTTATATGGTGTTTCCAAAGATGGTTACTTTAAGTTTTGTTGGGTAAAATAATGATTTCTACCAAGAATCTTAGATGGGTTGAGCTTTGATATTTCAAGTTGAAACATGAGGTGAAAGGTCAATGAAATGGTGGTCCACACAATCTAACCCAAGACTTAAGTAGCACAACTCACTGTTGTGAGTTTTATCATTTTTTCCTTGATATTCATTTTGGGATACAAGGTTGGTTTAAATGGTGCTTTAGTAAGTTATAAATGAGTTTAAAGTTTGGTTTCATTTTGGGTTGAGTTTTACTTCCAAGTCGATGGAACATAATTCAAATACTTACTTGACTTTTGTCGCGACCATAGTCGCATGGTAGGTCGCTTAAGCCACTGTTTTGTTTTGTGGTTTTCTCGATTTTGATTCTTGTTGTATTGGGGTCTTTTGGGGGTATCAATTATGTATGAAATCTTGCATACGAAGATAACAAGTTACAAATTATAGTTTGTTTTTTCTTTCCATTCTTTGTTTCGGATTGAAAGAGGAACGAGGAAATTCAAATGGAAAATGTTGCAATTTTTTGTAAAGCTTGTCAAGAGTTTTTTTTTTTTTGAAGTATATAATATTTATATACGGCAAAATGCAACAAATAAACTCACACACCCTCCTCACCTATGATGATGTTTGAATCCCTGACCTCCTAGAAAGCCACGGGCTACGATACCGCTAGGCCAAAGGCTCTTTGGTAGCTTGTCAAGAGTTAGTGTTGAGTTTATATCTCTTAATTGTGATCCATGCTTATCTAATTCAGTTTTGAGTTCGGTATCAGGATATGTTACGTGTTAAGAATTTAGAGTATTCTCTTAATCAAGGCGAGTTTTCTTCTAACCTTTTCGAACTGGAATGCATATATGTTATTAAATGACTGCTATTTTAATGTTATACCTATTTGGCATGTTTGGATTATTACTATTAACTGTGATACGATTTTCGATTACATGTTGTTGGAAATTAATACATGTGGTGATGATTGATTATTGGGTTAAAGGGACTTGCACAAGAGAAGCCCGTGTGCTTTTGTGACTGTGATAGTCTGCGCAAGGGGATATATATATGTGTGTGTGTGTGTGTCCACGAATGTGTTTCGTGTGGTGGGCCACTGCCGATATTGATTGCGGTTTTATAGAGTGTGCATTGTACTAGATTGATGACTATTGTGACTAGTTTCCTGAGAGTGATGTTGAGCCTGGGTGCTAACTCATGACTCACAGATTTAGATGTTTTATATTAACTGGTTTATACTTGATTGAACTGACAAGAATTTACTCACCAGATCGTATGATCTAACCCTCATCTTGTTTTAAAAACTATGCATTTCAGGGCAGCTGCATTTAATGGATAAAAGAGAAAAGGAAAACTGTGAATTTATTTGTTTGAATGTTATATATGGAGCCGGTCAAGGACTTATAGAAGTTTGCTTTTGATCATTTGACTATGTGAAAATCTTTTATATTAAGATTGTGTTAGCAAAAAGTTTGTATGTTATTTTCAGAATTTAGATGTCTGTATAATTTTGTAAGATGGGACATTATATGTAAACCCTTTATGGGTTGTTATATGTAATTATGTGTTAAATGCTATGTGAATTTGACGGGTTATTATACAATATGGCTTGTTTTGCAAAATATAATGTTTCTTTTGCATTAATTTTTTTTTACCAAAACAAAAGCATGTCTTTTCGAAGAGTCGATAGTTCCTGCAATATAGTTGAAGACTACAATGATGATTGAGTTGTTTAATTAGATCTAATTTGATATTTCTTATTATTCATCATTAAAAAAGTAAGATATAATTAGAAAATGATAAAATCTGGATAAAAAGAAATACATGTAGTTGGTGTGTATATATATAGATAGATATTAGATGTAGCCAAATCACAGTGACCTACCAATCAATGAGCAAAAGCTAGTTTTGCTGGGATCACTTGATCCAATTTTCATGGCTTTCATGGACAATGCCAAGCAACTTTCTATAAGTGGAAAACACTTTTACGGAAAAAAGATAAAAGGTAGACCCAAAGCAAATTGTGCCTAGAATTTGAGCGGAAAAGTCATATTTTGGGAATCATCCCAGGTGCATCAATCATCGTATATCAGAACCTTTTATCATATCCATTTTTCAATAACATTATTGAAGATTGTTGAAAAAATCCTCCTGAAATACCAATTTTATTGTAGTGAATTCTTCTAATCCTCGTTCTTTTCGTCAATGCTCGATTCTCAAATACTTATTTGTCTGCCTTTTGCATATACTCCACGCCAAATTAATTAAGAACATATATATTTTCTTGAAGTGTAATTTTCATGTTTGGAGAAACTGTCCAAAGTTATCATCAGAATTGGGGATGAGTATCACTATGTGATCTTGTAGACTTCTTTCATACAAGCTTGTGTTAAGTTGCATATTTGAAAATTTTGTGTTCCTCAAGCTTCAGCCAGTTGTTTTAATGGATGACCTTAGAGGACTGTAGATTGTTTTTCAAGGCATGTTATCCGGCTAACAAAACCTTGAATGAATACTAAGGGGTTGTTTATTTACCTTTTAATAGTTTTATTTAGAGACAACCTCTGAATCATTAAGAGGTGAATTTTGTTTGATAAAAAAAATCTACCTTTTAATGGTTCTAAAACCCTCTGAATGATTTTGTATCATGGGTCTCCCTTAATCATTCAGCGACATAATTTCATTGTAAACACTATATTTCATTTTTCATTTTCGTTTTCGTTTATATATTGGTAGTACTAATTGATTAATATGGGGTTTGACTGTTTTAACAAGGAAAATATAGATTCAAAGGTTAAGACTATAAATAAAAACATACGTAATATTATTTTATATTTTTGTCAAAAAGGAGAAAATGAAAATTGAACCATGGGAAATAAATGAACTTATAGAGGTTAACAACAAACTTGAATAGCTTTTCTGGATTCACCATGTTTGGCTATTAAAAGGCACTCATTACCATCATTAATTATTTGGAAACAAAAAAGATGCCTTTATAAAATCATAAGGCTCTCAAAACTCAAATTAAAGTGCAGACACACACATACAGATACAACACACACACACACACACACATATATATATATATATATATATAATGTCCAAGTAACAAAGGTAAAATCATATTTTATTGTGCTCTTTTAAGAAAAAAGAGATTTGAGAGCCTAAGTCGTCATAAGGATTGGCTATGGCCAACTGATAAAAGGTGCAAGAGTGACAATTGAGGTCTTGTCTTAACAGTTTTATGCACTAGTGCACTTTTCCCTAAGGAAATACCCTCTTAATTGAATCTTAGAATGTCAATATACCGTACGTTTTTTGTTTCTCTAGATCTGGATATCATAGGATTATGTGGAAATTAATGTATTAGGTTTATGCTTGTTAGAGTCGTACATTGGCTATATTAATTTGAATCTTTTCAATTCTGGTTCAAGCTATAGGCTCTTTTATGGAAAGTAGATCTCAGGGTTTCACATATTCTCACATGATATTAGAGTCAAGATCTAACATTCTAGGGACTTGGTGTTCTGAGATAATATGAACTTATCTAGCCCGTCTCTACACTCTGCGACAATCTGTGTCCGTCTTGCCTTTGTTGGAGGGGTATGTTAGAGTCCATGTATCAGTTAAAGTTGGACCATTTCTCGTCTGTAATGTTAGAACCTTCATTCTTTGTTGAATACATGCATCTTTCAATGAAATATCTATACATCTAGTTATCTCTGCACCCTCGATGCAAATGACCTTGTTATTATCATCAAATACAATTAACATAAATTAAATGTATCACATTATTGAAAATCAAACTTAAAAAACTTTTAATGATCATTATTTACTCATTGATATTGATATGATATTCAATTAGTTTATTTTGTTTGATAATGGAGTGGTTGGTCGCTTAAGAAAAGGGGTTTAATCCTATTCATCACAACTCGCATCATCCGTACATAATACATATTTTTTATATTGACAAGAATTAAACGAATAATATATCATTTTATCATCGAAAAGTTAATATTAGGTAATGGGAATATGGGGTGTAGTACAGGATCAGGTTCACTTTGTTTTTGCATGCCACATATATCTACAAATCATTGAAACTGGGTATGAATTTCATGGAGATTTTGGAAGATCAATTTACAATTTTACCTGGCTAAATGATGTGGAGCTTGGAATTAGAAGCTTGTACATGATGCAATTGAAGTTGTACGTAAGTTCTGAAATGATTGAAGATCCACAGAATTTGCCACCATATATATAGTCAACGTATGTGAGCTCAATTTTGCACAGAGAGGAATTTATGGGTATTTACATATACAATAAAAGGTATCACTGAATGCACAGAACATACAGAAAAACAAGCACACAGATAACCCCTCGGGATGAAAAAACGAAAAGGGCCAAAGTGAAAACAGTAAAAGAAAAAGTAGTGAGAGAGACCCAACACACTAATAATTCCACCAAAAAGATTCAAAGGCAGTAGAAATCACGTTTTCTTGACCAGAAACAACATACCCATCTTCCTGATCACCGCCGCGGTTCATCCACGGGGGTGGATACAACCACCCGTCGGCCACCAAGTCAGTGTATACGAAATCATTCTTCAACTCAAGCGAGTCAAAGCTCGAACCGAGAACAGGCAGCTCAATTATCTGATCGAGTTCTTCTGACGCAGTTTCTATAGATGAAGATGGAAAGTCAAATTCTGTCATGGCTGCTGCTTTAGCCGCAGCGGCTTGTACGTCTCTAGGGGAGCAAGAAGCTGGTCGGGGTAGCGATCCAACAAGTTCTGGGAAATTAAGCATGGCCGAGTTGCCTTTGATGCTTAGTGCGGCCACATCGTGTGCCCTGGCAGCCATTTCTGGTGTAGGGAAAGTCCCGAGCCATATTCGTGATTTCTTCCTGGGCTCACGGATTTCAGACACCCATTTACCCCAACTACGCATCCTAACGCCACGGTAGACCGGGTGTTTGCTGGTGGAATCGCGGTTCCTCTTGACGGTTCTGGTTTCCGGATTTTGCGAGTTGGGTAAAGGCTGTGTTGATCCAAGCGAAGAAGGGGATGTAGTGCAAGAATTCGAGCTGCAATGATCATCAGGTTCACTAATGGAATTCTCTATACTCAATTTGGCACAAATCGTTGCTCCATTCTTCATTAGGGCATACGTAAATGGTGAAAGAGTAGCCGTCATGGGTACCAAAATTCACTAATGTGTGTGTGTGCGCTATCTTTTATGAGTTTTGTTTGAAAGCAAAATGGAGAAATAAAGTTGCTATCTTTCTGGGATTGAAAGATTGGGTTTTACCCGTTTTATCAGCAAGCAGCGACTTTCACCCTCATATCGCAATGAGTGATGCAGATACTTATACAGAGATCTAAGGAGGGAGAGAGAAGAAGGGAGGGGGGGAGGGAGGGAGGGTAGGGGGAGTGGGGTACAGATAGAAATGGCTGCTACCCTAGAGAGATGGATGACCTTTAGTACAATGGGGTCCTTCACCAACAAAGTATACAAAACCTGCTAATTTCACCTTTGTTTTACCAGGTTACTCAGAGATTTACTAAACACTGTGTATTTTCCCATCCTTTTGTCTTCAATCTTTTCAACCTGCCACCGTCACAACATTATCTTCTAATATTCTACTTTTACCCCAATTCAATACCAAGTTCATAACAGCATTTATATATATACATGTTTATTTGAACAGAAACTTAAAGAGAGTTAAAAAAGTTAAGAAACAAATCGAAACTAATAACATAATGTAATACTCCTATTAATGAACCACGAAATAAATTTGTATGAATTATATTTACAACGATTTATTTTATTGTTTCGATTGGAAATTATTTAACAAATGCTATATAGTAAGCCAAAAATCCAAATTTGGGAGTGATGAGCAAAATCTGCATATAAGTTTAAAATATGACATGAATTATTGTTTAATATTGGACAAATAAAATATATTTTAAAAAAAGAAAAAAGATGACTAGAAAACAAAAGGTGACCATCTCCACCTACGTGCTCCTACTTTCTTTTGTTTTGAGTGAACAGTCAAATACTTATTGTTTTTTGTTTCTTTAATCCTGTATCAAGAATACTTTGTTTTTTTTTTTTTTAAAGTGTTGACGTTTAGACATGTTCACATGTTTCTCGATTAATCTCATAAGATTCTAAAGTTAAGAGTCAAAAAATCTACAATAACCTGTAGAAGAATCGAACTAATGACTTGGAGGAGCATATTGATCTTGTTAAAAATAATGATTTTCAGGTTTAAGCAAAAGATTTCATAAATCATTTCAATTTTGTACTAATAATTTTAAATTAGTGTTTACATGTTAAAATTTTATTTAAAAATGTAATTAATTTTAGTCATAATTACCTAATAAAACATGTTATAACAAGTTAAAAGAATTAATTAGATGAAGACCAAATTTGCAACAAGTTTCCAAAATAATATATTATAAATTAATAAAGCAGTATTAACTATATAAAGTGGAAAAAATATATATATTATATGTAACGTGTCGATCAAATTCAATCCAGAATCCTAATTATTGAAGGAAGTCTAGGGACTAGAAGTGCCAATAGCAAAAGTATAAGTTCAGAGGCTAAATTCATATAATAAGATAAGTTTATAGGATACAAGAAAGTGGAAGTAGAGAGTGTAATGAACTTAATCAACATGCGTCAACTAAATAATTTAGGTGCTATAAATTCTTGTTATAGTTAAAAATTAAGTAGCAAATGATTTCCAGAAAAGTTTAGCATGAAAATTTTAAGGAATTAGCGGGTTTAGAGAGCTTCAATGTTTAAAATTGATGTTTTATCCATCTTCGTGTGAAGTAGGATTTAGGAAAACTCCCGAATTTATGATAAATTGCTTTTGTAATGTGTTGTTTTAGTGTTTTATAGTAAATCCCAATAAAGAGAAACAATAAATTTGAGATAGACATGTTTGATTGATTTTTGGGTTTATTTGTATTCGAGTTCAACCAACAACGTACAAATAAATGTACACTACCTAGGGTGGCGAGGCAAGGTAATACAGGCTCTAATCGCGAAGATTTTGTTTACAACGAGCCATAGGTCATAGCCTAGATTTTTGCAACTTAGGGATGCGACCTAGTTGGGGTAAGGGTTGAGGGCCGCGAGGCAGAGTTTGCGTTCCAGAACAGAACGACCACGCACCGTAAGTTCAGGTTGCATGTCGAATCCCTTTGACTTGTTGACTCTGACCAATGTCTTTAATGGGTCCAATTCCTAGTCTGCACTTTACTAGCTTGTAGTGTTCAATGTTGACTTATGTAGCTACCACTCATGTACACTCAATTTTACACGGATTAGTGATATGTTTAATGTGATTTAAGACCAATATACATACAATGGATTATGTTTAGCATATTCAGTTATGTTCTATATCATGAACAATATTTTGAGTATGTTCCCAAATATGTTTTAACAATATGTTCGGTATTGTTTAGTGTTTGTACACACACACATATATATATATATATATATATATATATATATATATATATGTGTGTAGTGCTATGTTCAGATATGCATGTATAGTTAGGATACTAGTAGTATCATATTAGGCACCAAAAAGACGCATACTTTTTATACATAAATTGCAAGGATACCACTGTTCATTGTTCAATTTAGTTCAACCAGTTCTAATGATACATATTGCGGTTATTATACATAGTTGATGTAGTTGTAAAAGTTTACTCACGTACTATGCTAGTTAACTTGAGATCTCATGTGTGTCAAGTTATTTTTAATCCACAAACTTGTTTTTTCAAATATATCATCAACATAAATTCTTAATTCTAACTATTGATTGTTTGTTAATGCCCAACAATGGTTTCTTCCTAGAGCTAGCTCAATAACCTTTCGTGCACTAATCATCGACCTCTTATCCTGAAAATTTTATAAGCAGTTAGAAAACAAATAAAGGGTTTTATATATAAGAACATCAAGTATGCCTAGTTTTTGTTTATATGGATGTAAATGATACGAGACAACCACTACTAAAAAAAATAGGTATCATCGACGGATTTTTCTGACGGACGTTCCGTCGGAAAATCAGTGATGGATTTCTGACGGATTCCAAAATAATCAACAAAAGTCAACATTTATCGACGTCCGTCGCAAATCCCCCACAAATCCGTCACCGATTTTTTTAGGAAAAAATATTTTTTTTTCGAAAAACTTCCCGACGGATCGTCGACGGATTTGCGACGGATGTTTTTATTTATCTAGTACCATCACAAATCCGTCGGTAATCCGTCACAAAATTGGTCTAATTTTTTTAAATAAATAATCAGTGTTAATCAATTACATTTTCCGATGGATTTTAATTAAATAAAAATATTAATTAAAATCCGTCGGAAATGTTTAATTTTTTTTTTTTAAGTTTTATTCTTTTTTAGAAGCTATAATTAAAAAGGAAACACACAAAAAATTCTTTAAAAAATATTAATTAAAAAATTATTTATTTTTTTTTAAGTTTTATATTTTGGTTTTTTGGAGAAGTGCTTATTGGTTAAGCCATTGTCAAGGATGGAGGTCTGAGCTGAAGAAGCCCTCGTTTTGACCCTCAAACAACTGGTGAAAAGAGTGGAGAAGACTTTTTGATGACATGTTGTGATGGAGATGATACCTCCTTTTCCTTGTCTCCTCAAATGTACCTTCACCACTTTTTTATGTTTTTGTCTTTAGCATATTTGTGGGTATAAAAGAGAGTCTTGTGTTTCTCTTTTGTTATGATCCCCTGGACGTTTTTGGTTCCAATTTGTACTCCCAAAAACACTCTCAAACTATTAGTAATATTTACAAGCTTTTAAGTTTTAATTATTGTTCTTCACATTTTATCTTTTATTTATTTAATTATTGTCATTTATTTTACGTCATTTACTTTCAGTCATTTACATTCATGTCTTTACTTTATGTCATTTATTTATATTATTTACTTTCCGTAATGAGTAGCTAATTCCATTAGCTCGGGTGTAGGGTAAAGGGTGAA